TGATTCGGGGGTCATAGTTACTGATCCGCGCCTTTTAGTTCCAGATTCGGTTCTTTCGTAGTTGCTGATTCGGACAGGCTACTTTAGTTCCTGATTCGTGGTTACTGATTCGGCCGTAGTTCCTGATTCGGTATTTGTTCGTTATATAGGGGTTATATAGGGAAAAATGGAAAATGGAAACTACGTTAGCATTAGTAAAATAGGTAAATGTCAACCGTCCCAACTCGGACTGATGGCTGACCCATACCCTCATGATGTAACTCTGTCTAAACTCCTAGCATCTCGCTTAATCACCCCTAACATTATATTCCCCTATATAACCCCCTTTCAGATGTTTAGATTAATTATAGCTCATGTAACCCTTATCAAGATCACCAGGCTCTCGCCCTTTCAAACTTCCCAGGGGGCCCGATAACCCTTAATCAAGGAATACACCGTCAATCATATTAGAGACACCGGTATTATCCAACATGTATTCCTAAACCCTAAACCCTTTATGCGTATTGGAATCTCCTGTCGTGCCAAGAGGCTGGAATTGGCTGGTGCTCATTTCGCGACCTGATGGCAACGGTTCAGGGTTTAGGGTTTGAATCAGAATAGGATCCTCAGCCTCAAAATAATTACAATCTTTGGGGACTGGTGTCGGGTTGTGCGAGTTAGGATTCACGGCACATAACCTGGCGCAAATCTTGTCTGGTCCATACTACCTAAAAACTGCCAACTAGGCTTGTGTGTAGCCCTTGCCTTTGTATCGCTTGTGCTACAGTACCATTACCACTCTTCGAGCGATTTCTAATACGATCAAAGCCTCACTGCCACGATGGGCTAACATGGCAAGTCCGGTGCTTTTATGTTGTGCTTCTTAATTCACCACTTCCCTCTGGCAACCGCCGCCAACAGTTTGCCCAAGATTGTCCTGGGGTATTGCAGATACACATCCTTTCCCCTTGTGCGCAGCTCAGATCATCAGGGCACAGGTTTTTGGTATGCGAAGACGTTGTAACGCATTGTAAGTGTTTCGAAGATTCTCAAAACAACCAGTCAATGCTCGTAGAAATCTCTACATCATACTATATGGTAGTTTCCATTTTCTTTTCCATTATCCCAATATAACCCCAATGTAGCCCCTATATCTGATAAAAGTCTCGATATACCCTGACCCCTACTATAAGGACTCCCAAAAAGTCAGCCCGTATTTTTTTGTTGAAAAAGGCCTAAACCCTAAACCCTACCTATATAAGCCCTATATAACCCCAATATTACCCCTAAACCATAAACCCCAATACAATTTGAGTTTGGTGCCGACCAGACGCAAAGGCCGTCGACCTTAGATTCGAGCGCCAGCAAAGCAAAATACAAGTCTCCTGCGCAAGCTGTGTAATGCCCTCCCTCCCGGAAGCCCAAAAAGGCGCCTATAAAGACTACAGTCCTTCTAAAAGGGGACTATTTGGGTTTCCATGTCAGTTTGGGGGAGTGTACCCACTACAGCCCATTTGGGGCTTTTTGATAGGGATCCTAGGACATACAGAAATTGTATAAGGGGATTGTGGGAGTCGCTGAGGGATTGTTTAGAAGGTTACTGTGAAGCTCTCATATAAGCTGACCAAATCCGGCATAAAGCCTACACGAATCCCAAGTGTGCTGTAACAATAATTAAAAGAAAAAAAAGCTCTGACATGAACTCTTGGAAAACTGCTCCTTCAGTTGCTGCTGGGCCTTGCTTGTCAATGCTCTCATACCCCAGACCAAATTCCTAAAGTCAAAGCCCCCTTCATTGCGCCATCAGCATGCAAGTTGGGGACCGCGCTTGTGCCCATTCAGTGCCCCTTGGTTTCTGTAGACCTCTGCTGAGTGGTGCACTGACTTGTGGCCAAATGCGTGCTGCGGCCTCAGTAGTGTTGGGATACGGGAGTTTGGCATTGGCAGGGCCTCCAGGGTATGGGAGCCTGAGAAAAAATGCCCATGTTATCCTTGTAGTCCTTCCATAGCTATATCGTACCGTAATGATCCCGCAAAACCTATTTCCAGAACCCCAAAATACAATCTTCCTCAGAACAGGGGCCCTAAAAGTAGCGCACCCCTAATTTCTACAAGCCCGCCGCACCCTGATCAAGTGAAATTTCAGCTGAGACCCAATGGCGTGGATGCTATACCCGCTCAAAAATCCTCATCTTGAGGTCCATTCTGAGGCGCCCAGCCCATATACCATAATTGGTTGTAGGAGCCTGGGACCATAATATTGGTATATGAGCTATAGGCTAAACTCCTAGCATCCCCCTTAACAAACCCCATAAGACTCGCCCATATATTCTCCTATATAAACCCCACGCCCTAAATCCTAAACCCTAACCCTATATAACCCCCTGTAAGGAGTTTAGACTATAGCTCATCTGATGAACTAGGGCTCTATGCTGAGGCCGGGGCCAGCAGCAATGTGCCCATGCCACATGTTGGATCCACCTGCCAAGGCTATCAAACCCGTCAACCCAAAACTCTGAATATCAACAGACCTCATAAGTAGTGCATGCCATGCACTGCAGGTACTAGTCACTTGTGGTGGAATGGTCAAACGGCTTGAGAGTGATAGAACATCATTGCTAGTGTAAACATGTCGGCACCACCACGATGCTGGGAGACTTGCTGGCATCATTCTGAGCACCCTGCCACACAAGAGTGGCGCCCAAAAAACCTAGAAGCTAGCCTTCTGTCCAATCCAACACGTTATCCATGTTTTTACTCATATCGATTGCCCATCCAACAAACACAAAAAGTACTACGATTACTTGACGTTGTTTCCTCTTATCGTTTCCCATGATCTGGCACATGAAGATCAATCGTGTCAGTTCCATAATAACCGCAATGACCCGGGTTTTTGTCCAAGCTCATGGGACCAGCCGGGCTTGCATGGCCAAGGCAAGCAACCGGGAATATGGGTTATAGGGTTTGGGGGTTTAGGTTTTAAGAATTAGGGTTGTGCTGTACACATCCCGTGCAAGTAAGCCTAAACCCTCTGTAGCCCTGCCCTTGTCGAAAAAAAAAAAAAAAAAAACTTCACATATTTGTTATTGTGTAATAACATCATGGCGGGGATTGTTCAACAACGCAGCCGTGGGTTTTTTCAATATGGAAGGTGAGTATTAAAATATGTTGCAGCGACCCTCTTCCCCACCATCAGGCATTCTGCAGCGACAGCAGCCATTGCCTCAGCCAGCGCAAGCAAAAGATGTATGGCTTTTCGGGCTTGGGGGGTGGATTTCCAAGGCTGGTGTTGTACGGGTGCTAAATCATGCTTCGCTTTCGGGCCACAGGGCAGTCCTGCGTTCTTTGATTCTGGAGCAAGTTTGGTACGTATTCTCCGTCCAGCAATCATGTTCTTAGCAGTTTAGCTATGGAGGATTCGTCCGTGCACAGATGCGCAAACCAGGCAGCGGAATGCATGTGCACATTGACAAGGAGCAACGGCGCACGTTGTTTGAGATTAGCGCGGGGACCCTTCGCACGTGGTGCACAGTGAGAATGGGCATGCTCTGTACTGCTAAAGCGACTACCACTCAGTCTGTGTAGCGGCCTCCCTCTGACAGTAAGCTACCTCCTTCTTATACCATGCAAAATGCAACTGGTTGCATCTCTATGGTTGGCAGAGGGCCGGCGTGCGAAAACTCGTCGGCGGCGGTGAAACAAATCTATATGTGGCGCCAATTGCTGTACACTATCCCTTTCCGGTTACGTTGCGCACCACCTCCCTGTTCTTAAGCGCAGGATCCAGGAACTGAGCGCACCCAGCCAAAACTGGACACCACCGGGCAGCCAAGCTAATTATTCCACTTGCTGCCAGAAGGAATATCCCCATCCGACCAAGGAGCTTGCATCTCGAGCTGCATCCCTTGTGAGATTCAGAGTGCTTCTTGCCTCCTCGAATGTCTCCGTGACCACACTTCCCTTCGCCTCAGGTAATTTTGAGAATTCGTGCCGCTTCTTAACACACAAGACAGCTTCTGCGAGCGGTGGAATGGCGGAGGCTGGGGGGAGCGGGTGTGGGAAGAGGCTTATGGGGAGAGCTTGATTGGGGGGGAACTATTGTTGGTAGAGGGCCCTGGAATGTGCTGCTGCCAGACACAGGAGATCACACTGATTGAGGCGTGGACTGTGGTAGTAGTGGCACTGATGGAGAAGAAGGAATCTGCACCATCTTTGTCACCACTACAATGTTCCCCTATCCACGCCAGCCTTGTAATCTGCACTACCGCTGTTCTTACAATATCCCCCTTAATAACCCTCGAGTAGTTTGCGTTTGATTTTCCATCATCCTTTTATTGCCCCTATACCCCACTACAGCCTAAATGCTAGTTTCCGTTTTCTTGTCTAATATCGCAGTTTAAGTCCAATATATACCCCATTATAATGTAGTAGTTTCCATTTTCTTTTCCATTATCCCTAAATACAACCCCAACATACTATAGTAGTTTGCATTATCTTTTCCATTATTCCCAAAGCTATGCATCTACCTGCCAGCCTCCGCTTCCTCCTCCTCGGTGGTAGCAGGTGTAGTCTCTGCGGCAACCCACCGCCGATGCCGAAAGAAGCTAACGATGGTGAATAGCCTGGGTTGCTGATGAGGAACTTAAATTCAGTTACCATACTGGTATATAGTATTTAATATGGTTTCCCCAATATAGTAACTCAAATTAAAGTCCTGAACAGCAACCGAGTAGCATCAGAGGCATGTGGACGGGCACGGTGCACTTGAAAAGGATTGTCCCCTCGGCCAACCCCAGAGCGAGGCCTTTAGAATTCAGGTTTAGCCTCCTTGTCAACATGCCCCAAAGTCTGTTGGAGCCAGCCGAGGCTTCCAGTTTGTCCGAAAGCTGCCAGTACTTGGCTGAGCTCCAAGAGTACCAGCTAATGGGCTCTCGATGCCTTGCAGGAACTATGCCCAGCTTCTGCCGCTCTTGCCTACGTGCCAGCTGCCAACCCGCAAGCTTCCAGCTGTAGTTGGCGGTGCGATAACGATCTCTGGCATTTGCCAATCCAGCAAATAATGAGCTCTTGGCTCTGCTGCGCAGCCTCTTCACTAGTGCTGCTGCAGTCCCCTTGGCGCGGGCAATTGCCGGCGAGACCGTGCGGCTCCTAAGGCTCGCTTGCCTGGGTGATCACTTGCCCAGTGGACAGCCCGTTATTGCTTCCAATCTGGAGGTATTTTTTTAGGCTCCAAAATACAAATGGTCGAATTTCAATTTATCGTCTCCCCAATTGGGCACCAAACATATACACTCGCCAATGTGTGTTCCTAAAAATACCTACAGACACCCACCCAAAACCAGTAACAAAGTCCTACTCCACCATGAGCTATAGTATAAACGGCAAGTATCCCCCTTAGTAATCCCTGTAGTACTCCGCTATATGACCCACACCCTAAACCCTGAACCCCTAAACCCACTTTAAGGAGTTTTGAGTATAGCTCGCACGAAAACCTCTCCATCAGCAACGCAGTTGCGACTCACTCCTTCGCCTTGCCATATCCAAGGCCTCCACGAGCGGGCAAGGGTTTATAGGGTTTAGGGTTTATAGGGTTTAGGGCTTAGAGGGTTTATAGGGTTTAGGATTTAGTTAGGGTTAGGGAGTCCCGCTTAAGTAGATAGAATATGGCTTTGGGTATATTATAGTAAGATCCCCATGCATAATCAAACCCTAAACAGTAGCTTCCATTTTATTTGCCGTTATTCCTATATAACCCCTTGAAAGCCCCATATTCTAATCTACGTAAGGTGTCTATACCCTAAACCCTAAACCTAAACCCTACATTTTATCTACTTAAGGGAGACTATACCCTAAACCCTAAACCCTACTTACCCTATATTCTATCTACTTAAGGGGGACCATAGGTTTTAGGGTTTATGGTTTGGGGTCCAAGGCCTCCACGAGCCAAAGTCGCTTCCTCTCAGAAAAGGGCCTTGCTCCCACGAAGCTGTTTCCGAAGAGCGCCTCCCGCCTTCAATGAAGATTCATATCAATCCCCTCCCCCTAATATCACCCCCTCCCCCGGCTTATATATTCCCCGTATAATAATATAATATACCACAACGGGCGTATGTTTTTTTTTGGTGTGGGGGTTTGATATTAGGTAGGGGGGGATTAAGAGCTTTCAACAAAGAAGCATCAACTGATATGGGTGAGTAGGGCATGCACATGCAAAAGCATGAACTTTCCTATTCTTACTACTATACCTATATTACTATTACATTTCTTTATTAGTACACAGGAATTCCGCTCCAACCCAGCCTTGAAAGAAAGACCCTTCTCAAAGGCCGATAGCGGACGGCGACAGCCACGGAAGCAGCCCAGGCGCAGTATTTCGCCCCAAGAAAGAGAGCTGCCACCTCGGGGCTTCAGGTTTATGGTTTGGGGTTGTGGAAATCAAGGCTCTTCATCTCGGAGTCACTACCCAAGCCCCCCCAAAATGGCCCAAAATCCCTAAAACAAGCAAAATTAACAGTTATTATTCAGTGTAGGTACTGATGAGAGTTCTAGTATGTGGGTCTAAGGGGAGCCCATGTTGACAAACACCCACCTTTGGAACATCTTCGGCTTCCAGGCCACATGTTTTCAAGTAATTTGTCAAGCGCTGCCCAACCATTGAGAGGTGCCTTGGGCAACACTCTTGCAAAAGGACTTCCTGTGAAGTATCCGCCTACCTACTGAACAAGCTATGTGCTCATGCTCGGGCCGCTGTGACTGACGTGGCAAACGGTATCGCATGCACACAGCACCCGTCAAGCCGCGTCAAGGAGACAAAGCATGTGTCAAACATGCGTGTGGAATCCGAAAGCACTGAAGAACGTTGAAGCCAGAAGAGTTTTACTGAGATTTGGGCCATGGACTACATAATGTTTGCTGCTTCTAGTCAGATTTCAATTTAAAGCTCTTTGAACATTTCAGGTGCTGTTCAACCTTTACAGTGTGGCATGTATATTAAACAATGAGAACCCGGATTGACTCAAGCATCTCAGAAGCTGTCTCCCGCGATCTGCGTCTGCATGCCTGGCCGAGTGAGACGACCTGAAGAAGGATGATTTGTTTCATGTAGGGGCCATTGTCTAAACTCCCGGTATCCCCCAATAACCCCTATAGTAGGCCCCTACAGAATCCCCTGAAAGGAGTTCAGACTACGGCTCATGTAGGGGTCCAAAAAATTAGAGTAGGGCTTGGGGGGTACATTATGATAGAAGATCACTTGATTGTATGGTTTAGAGTTTACAGTAAAGCTTTATAGGATACTGCAAGGTGACGGGTGGAGGGAGACTTGGAAACCTCACCCACCACACATATGAGCTGCAGTCTAAACACATAGTATTCCCCCTAAGAACCCTTCTAGCAGTCCCTATATAACCCTTCTATATAATCCCATTTGAGGAGTCTAGTTTAAACTAGAGCTCGTATGACTGTCGTATGTTCTTTCGTTGGGTTGGGGTTATCCAAGTTCAACTGGTACGCATGCCCCGGCTGGATGACGCAAGCTGAAGCTACCACATCGCCATCATATAATGGCTGCTCTTGTCGCTACCAACATGTCTCTTGTCTAGCTCGAAATAGTGTTTATGATTTTCGCCTGAGGTTATAGTCAGCAGCCCAGCCCCACCCCACCCAAACATACTACTTAAATTACGGACTGGGGCCTCAGCATATTCGGAAAATCTACTATGCTCGGATGAGGGAATTATTTGTTTCACATTATGGGTAAACAGATTTTCCCGTATCCGTTCCTTCTGCCAGCACAGAAACAAACTCTCAGATCCCGGGCTCCAGGAGAACGGCGGCGCCGGATGAGTTTCCAGTTCCTTCACCTCCAAATCGCTTTGATGCTAAGGAACTTAAACTGATGCAACAATGCAAGCCTTCATCATCAGATTTGGGTGGGGCCGCCTTTGCCTAGACAAGGGGCAGCCTTGCTAAAACTTGTATTTGAATTGCTAACTCCGAGAAGGCCCCTTTTTTGCAGCGAATTCCCTTAAAGATCCTGCTACTTCCTACCAATTTTGCTACAAAGCTTCTTGTTACAGCAGCCGAGTTCATGAGCCCAGTTCCTTACTGCTAAAAGATGCACCCCAAACTCTGAGCTCCTCGTCTCTTCTGCAAACTGCTAAAAATCTGGACAGTCCAATGTAACCAGCGCGAACAATGGCCGCAGTTGGACACCCCTCTTCAAATACTGCTTGATTTCTTTGAACAGAGACCCTACATGTAAAGATTATGAAGAGGGGCTCATTATAGTTTGAACGTGGCTTGAATTCTCTCCATGGGTCGCCGCCAGGGGTTCTGATGGTCTAAGGTCGGCCGAAATGTAATTTCACAGGCAGGAGTGAATGACCAATACTAAACCAATATCACAAAGTCCCTTTAACACCATACAGAGCAGCCAAGAATACACCAGAAAGTGTGCCTCAGCCTGCTTACGGGTATGCATAGGTTGTGCAAAGCTTCATAGGTTTGAAGAAGCTGCTTGAGATGAGGAGCTCGGATTGCTAGAACATGAGGCTTCGCAAACGGGCCACAGCCGATACCCCAACCGACACTTTATTATTTCCTCTTTGTGTGTAGTCTATAGGAAAATTGGCCGCCGTGGTGGACAGTCGTTGAGATTATAGGGAACCATATTGTTTTTCATATCCCTATATTTTAGCGACTGGAAAGCTGCTTAACTGCAAATCACAAAATCAAGGGGTTGAGGCTTCAGTGTTGGTTTTGGACCCGTATAGCATGCAATGATCCTGCACAACATGCAAGTCGACTTCGGACATGCAGCGCAGCTACGGAGCGTGCTTAAGAACGCACGGTATCTAGCATCACTTACTGCAAAGCTCTAGGCTCAACTTCAAGGATTCCGCAACTTCCACAAGACTGCCCTGTCAGTGCCCCCCGAATATGGGGCATAGGGGACCATCGGGACTGCCATAGGCGATTAACTGGCAACCATCCATCAGCGTCAGCTTGGAACCTAACAACGTATTGCTCAAAACCAGGGTCTCACGACATACTCCAATACGTAACAGCGCTCTTGCTTTCCGTCTCCAAAGAGGAACCCAGACCCTAGCTAGGACAAGACCGGAAAATCCAAGCCCTCTAATGAGCAAGGGGCCTCAATGCCAAGTGCAACATGGTCGGCGGCGAAGAACGCTGTGGCATTCACCTTGGAAGTAGTCACCACTCCCTATTCGAAGATCCTCCCAAATAATGAACGATAATCCCGTGGTTAAGCTTATAATGGAGTTCATGCTGTCTGACTGAAAGTAATACTTAGACATGAGAACTACTCACGCCGTGAATGATAAGCTAAAGGGCAAACTACTGTCAAGTAATCGAGGAGGCCCTCGATCTTCTAGATAGTCAGTGATTCCATGATTTACATCCCTAAACCCTAAACCCCAAAACCCAAAACCCCAAAACCCTAAACTCAAAACCCAAAACCCCAAAACCCTAAACCCTAAACCCCAAAACCTATGATGGCCTTTATTTTTTGAGAAACCGAAGCAGGCCCCTGGAAACGACCCCATCTATCCCTACAGAACCCTATGCAAGCCTTATCGCCCCATAGAGAATCCCCTATAGAACCCCTTTAAGGAGTTTAGACCCTAAACCCTATATAATCCCCTATATACCCCTTTTCAAGTGACCCTCCCTAACCCTAAACCCTAAACTCTAAACCCTAAATCCTAAACCCTAAACCCTAAACCCTTTCCCCAAATCCTAAACCCTAAACCTCATACCCTTTCCCTAGGGGCATTTACGTCACAACAACCAGCTTCTCCACCTCGGCGGCCGAAGCTCGAGGTTGCAGGACCTTGTCTTAAAGGATTTAAGGTTTAGGGGGTTCAGGGTTTAGGGTTTAGGGGTTTAGGGTTTAGGGTTTAGGGGTTTAGGGGGGATGTTTTGGGGGTTTAAGGTTTATAGTCCCCCCTTAAGTAGGTAGAATCTGGCTTTGGGTATATTAAACTAAAATCCCCATATACCCCATATTCTATCTACTTAAGGGGGACTATAGGTTGGTTTTGGGATGTTTTCGGGCTTTAGACACGCGCATCGCACAGCAGTGCAGGCACGGCAACAACCGTCCTGTCCGGCACTTCCAGCTTTTGGTGTTTAGGGTTTAGGATTTAGGGTTCAGGTTGTGTTTGGGGTTTAGGGTTTAATGTTTTTTTGTGTTTTTGTCGGACCTTTTTCCGTCCGGGAATGCCTGCGCACGCAAGGCCAAGTTTCAGTTCTTAAGCATGACCCGGTTTAGGGTTTAGGGTTTGGAGGCGGGCAGGTACGAGGCGGGGCACCTCTGTGCATGAAACTTATCTGGGGAGACTACTAAGGGCCATATAGGCGTTGTAAGGCCTTCATGGGGGAATAACCCACCGGAAATGTCTTCAGAATGCGTGGACCGGACCAAATCAGAAGCTCCCAGAGCAGCAATTACGAAGGTGACATGAAGTCGAACAGCAGCAAAAGAAATACCTATTCTCTTAGTCATACCTGTACAAATGGTAGCATGAACGGCGTCAACCCCGCGGAAATCCTCATCTTCAGTGGACCCGTCCTCGCGCCCTGATATAAAATGCTGCGCTGGCTCTGTTTTCCACGTGTGTTGGGATATGAGGCGAAGCCAGCGAAAAGTTTATTTGCAATGATGGGAGAGTAGTCGCTGAGTAAGAAACAACGATAATGATATTACAGGTTCTTGGCTAAATCATTTTTCCTTGCATACCCTCAAGCCAGCACAATCCGTAGGACAACCTAAGCCCTAAACCCAAAACCCGGAATAGTAGTTTCCATCTTATTTTCCCTTATCCCAATATACCCCAACATAACCCCAATAGAACCCTAAACCCTAAACCTCCCACAAAGCAAAACGACCGTGGTGGCTTGCCGATGCACGCGCAATTATAAGTCATACCTCGTACCCTGTGAGCAACCTGGGCGGCTGTTAAAGAACTTAAGTTAAGTTACCAGAATGGGTATATATGATTTAAAGTTTGGGGTTTATATTATGTATATATAGGGTTATATAGGGTAATTAATACGGTTTCCCCAAAATAGTAACTTAAACTAAGTTCCTTAACAGCAACTGTGGGCTTCATGGGTCCCCAACCCAGGAGGTTGCCCTCTCAAGGCCCGCTCGGACGGCCTTCTTCAGCTGAACCCAGTCCTAGGCTTTAGGGTTTAGGGTTTGGATGATGAGGCTTGGGCTTTCAGGGCAGAGGACTTAACATCTATACACGGGTCATAGTCTAAGCTTCTAGTATCCCGCTTTTTTTAACCTCTATAGTATTCCTCTGTATAATCCAAAGGTAAGTAGGCTATATAGCTCACATGGGTCATGACTGGAGAGCCGGGGGGATCGGGGGTTTGCATTTGGAGGAGGAAATGCAGCATTTTGTACGGTGTACCCTAAACCCTTCTTGATAAAGGCAGCTCCCTGAGTCCTATTGAAGTTAGGGCGGAGAGTATGGGGCCCCTAATATGGGCCTCTGGCCCTTCTGGGGGTTTTCTAGGGACCCTTAGAAGGGTGCATATAGGGTATATAGGAATTTTCTCAGGATCCCAGAGTTAATGGCCCATACTAGGGGCCCATTAGGGGGTTTCCGAAAACCCCGA